TTTTTTATATAAACTTTAAATATCTACAACAAGAAAATCAACCGAATAAGTTAATTTTTTCAATTAGATTTTGTAAAGTGATCCCTGCTTTTAAATATTTAATCTACACCCCTTATAGAAATACTAAAGAAAGAGGGCTGCAATTGTTATAACTAAAACTGCCTGTTGACACCGCACAGCTACACCATTTTAAAATTTCCGCCAGCTTAGAGCGTCAGGTCTGTACATAATAAATAGTAAGATATAATGCATAGTTTTAATAAGCCTTTTATCTTTCGTATAGGCAACCCACTGCACTGTAGAGAATTCCCATCATCGATACAGCAGTCCAGCTAACTCCTTTATTAAATTAAAATATTCACTAGTCAGTTTTAGCCACGATTACCTATTACTTTTTAATTATTTCAATTGCCTCATAACAACTTTTATAATATTTTGGTACTATCAGCTCGTTTAAAAGGGAGAAATGAATTTTAAATTTAAAGAAGAGTTGAAAAAATGATTTCTACCTTTCCAATGTAGTGTTGATTTGATCAATAACTCAAAACACTGAGGTAAAACTCCGTAAGGGGCTACGTGCACGTGCTGAAACAATAATGATTTTATTTTGTAATAAGAAAAAGTTAAGAAAAAATGTTACCCTATCTATCTTTATACATATTTAAGTGCAATCCAAAATATTCTTATGGCAGTAACTTCCAACATAGGCAAATTATTCGGAATGGTGAAACAAAAGGAATATTGTTTATAGTCCAATCGTAATGTAAATGAAAAAAATAATGTAATTCAGGACCGACACTCACGAGATGCTGGACAAAATAATTACTTTCCCTGGTGTAGATGCTACTTTTCACCATTTAGCAATCACATTCATTAAAAAAAAAAATCGTTTTTCCTTATGTACAGAACTGACAGAACATAAGAAATTTCTCCTTTATTTTACAAGCAGAATGCTAATATTTAAAAAATGTTGCAATTTTACATTTAAATAGTACTAACGAATATGAATTTCTTCTTAAAACTAGAATTATAATATGTTTTAACTTCATCATTCAATGGTTGCCTGTAGAAAGTGGGAAAATTTGCATTTTAATTTTGAAAATTTTATAAAATCATATTTCTAAAGTACGTTTTTCAAGGGAAATTATTAATGAATATTTTTTAAATTTATGGAAAATGTGTAAAGATTACAGTAATTTTGAAAAACCAATGATTTTTTGTGACTAGTTATGTAAATTTATTTATTAAGAGTTTATAATTAGTCAACATATTTTAAGAGAAAGCTGAGAACATACCGCAAGCAAGAAACCATCAGGAAACAAAAATTGATAAATATAATACGTTAAACTGCGAAAACCATTTCGAATTTTATGCCATAAATAATTTTATGGTTACTTTTACCCTTTGTAGATCTATTATCTATGCTTTTACATCTAGGCTTGTAGGCTACTTACTATAACAACCACAGAATGCATATGATATTAACAGCTGTAAGTAGTGTCTAAATAATGGTTATCCGCTAAAACATTTGTAAATCAAAATTTTGTAAAAACGATTTTGACAAAATTTTTCATATTCGTAATTCTTCCCCTAATACCAATGAACAGGACTATTCAAGCAATTTAAATAGGTGAAAAGTGTTTTATTTATCAATAATAAACACCGACGTTTCGCTTTTGGCAAAATTTTTCTCGGGGTAAATTTTAAGGTCACTTGCATGATAAGTTATAGTTACACCAAAAGCGAAACGTCGGTGTTGATTATTGATAAATAAAACACTTTTCACCCCTTTAAGTTGCTTAAATAGTCCTGTTCGTTAAAATACTTCTTTTCTATCTCACTAGATTACTTTTTTTGGAAAGTTAAATATGTTATGATTTCAATTATAATAGATTTGCATATCCTATTACTAAGTGGATGTAACAAACGATTGTTACCCAAAGCAAGCGCGGATATACGATTTTATTTAGGTGGAGCAATTTTTCGTTCTAAATAAAAGACTTAATTTAATTAATTTTAATTTATTATCCATATGATGTGTGTAATCCGTATAATTTCAAAGCAAAAATTTAGCTAACTTAAATGCTTATAAATCTTTATTAGTCCTGATCTCTTCGAATTTGTGACCAGGCATGTAATAAGATAACCGAATTCTCATGTCAGATGCATATGGTCATAAAACATGTAATAAAGTCTACGTTGTAGTTTCAACAGATATTCTCTTGAAAAGTGCTTACATTTAAAGTGGCAATTATAAATTTTTAAATGCTTGAATCTTATTAACAGAAAACGAATAGAATAAACAGTCCAAAAATTACATAAATATGATTAGGTCGTGAATCAAAGAAAAGGGCAATTGGATCAATTCTTTTCTTAATTTTTATGAATTGATAGTAATATTTATTTGGAATCATTGCTAATTCTTTTTTTATTCGTGCCAATATTTTTTAAATCTTTATTCAATATTTCAGAATGTATACCGTTTTATCGTGGTTCATTTAAATTGTTATTATACCATCCGTGGACAATTTATCAAAAAAACTGATTTGCATTTTAGGCAAAACAATTGAATTTAATAAATATTTAAAATATATCATTGTCACATACCACTGCTTGAGACTTGTAATGCCCAATGCGAAGGGTAAGAATAACCGTGCAGTCTTGTATTTCAATAAGACAGAAAAAACGAATATGGATATATCTAACGTGAATTGGAAGTTGGAATATGTGTAATATCCGAATTGAAAAAGACAGGAACTCAATCTGCTAAATTACATTTTATTCTGCAAGAAGACAAAAGCACAAGCCGGAGTGGGAAAATTACTACACGAGAAATTTAAAAATTATGTTGAGGAAGTGCAATGCATGAACGTTACAACACATAAGTCGAGATAACGTAAAAAGAGATAACACAAGAAGACGTTCATAAACTAATAAAACAATTAATAAGAAGGAAAGCTCCCAGTCCCGACTAAATGTCGAACGAATTCCTAAAATACAAAGAAACAAAACCGGACGAAAAGTTAACTACTTTATACTACAAAATAATTACAACCAGAAGAACACCAACGAATTAAAAAAATAGCATCACCATATCAATCTATAAAAAAAGGAAGAAAGAACAATCCAGAAAATTACAGAATGAATCCGCTATTAAATAGTACGACCAAGCTATTTACTAAAATTATTACAATAAAATTAACAGACAAAGTTGCTGTAAGTGAGGAACAGCAAGGCTTCAGACAAAATAAATCGACGATGGATGCAATTATCATACTGAGACCAACGGTGGAAAAATCGATTGAATTCAACAAGCCTTTATTTTTTTGTATAGTGAACTTGAAAAAGCTTGATTAAAGTGTAGCTGATCGATGTTGTAGATATTCTACAAGAAAAGGCCTTATCAAAAAATTATACACAAACAATAGCACAACTTAAAAAGAACAACAAGCCAAAAATAAAAACTCAACAAGAGATTCAGCGGAAATACCAATTACAACAAGAATAAGACAAACAACACAGTTTAAGACCTACTCTATTCAATCTAATCAGGGATAAAATTACACAAAGCGTGAAAGAAATCAAAGGAGGATACAGGATAGGACAGAAATCAATGAAAATATTGTTTTATGCGGACGATTTATATTGCTGGCCGAAAATGACGATGACTTACAGGCTGGACGAAGGAAGCTAGCGACCGGTCGCGCAGATACTTGCCCATTTATGACCTATTTGGGTAAGTCACTCGGAACCGATACACAAATAAGCTTTCAGATATTTATTTTAAATATTTAATCTACGCCGCTGATAGGAATACTGAAGAAAGAGTGCTGCAATCATTATACCTTATCCATCCACACCATTTTAAAATTTCAGGCAGCTTCCAGCGTCAGGCCTGTGCTAAACATTATGTACAAGTTCCAAATAACAGCAACAAGATTTAATATACAGATTTCTATAGAAAAGACAGGGCCCATGGTCATATCAAGAGATTCAATAAGATGTAAAGTGAGAGTGTATGACAAACCCATTCAACAAAATGTAACTGCCCGGGAGTGGAAATATCAAGCCGCAGAGATTGGATTAAGGAAGCTCGCACACAAGCGAACAAAGCCTTAAGAATTGTCGGATATTTGAGAAATACAATTTAGAAAACAAATACATGACCACTGAAAGTAAAGTCAGAATCTATACGACAGTGGTGAGACCAGTACTAACTTACGCTGTAGAAACGAGGGCAGAAATGACGAAAACAAAAAGCTTAAGCTGAACAACAGAAATAAAGGTATTAAAATCGACTAAAGCAGTAACACTAAGGGATCGGGTAAGAAGCGAGACCATAAGAGAGGAGCTTCAAATATAGGATGTCGTATGGTTCCAAAGAGTAAGATGGCGATTTTGTAGAAAACATATATATAGAATGGAAGAAAACGGATGGGTAAAATGGGCAAATGATGAAAAACCCAACACAAAAAGACCTCCTGGCAGACTACCTAAAAGGTGGTATGAGAGCTGGACTTCTGCATCGCAGTTAAGACTGAGATCTTAAAAACCAGTTACAAACAAGACTATGTCTTACGAGAAAGAGAAAGAAGGCGAAAAGAAGAAAAAGAGGGTAATCTACTCCTCAGTAAACAACCTCTTTATATACTTATTATATAGCGTAATACAAGAGATCCAGCTGAATCATTTTTTAAAAAAATTGGCAATTATTAAGTCAAATCATAGAGCTCCTTAAGATATATTGTCTTTAGAGACAAATAGAAATAATTAGAACTTACGTTTTCACAATAAATGCATTAGTTTGTGATTGATCAATGTAGCATGTACCTCCAGTGTTACGAGATTAAACGGGACTCTTTCTTGGACTACAAATTTCAGTCTTCTTTTCCTGTATACTAAGTAGACAGTTGTAGCATCTGAAAAATTAGAAAAGAACTATAAATCAATACAAATAACAGCAACAGAAAATTTAAAATAACAAAACAATATACAATTCAAGTTAATTTTTAATTACAGATTTATTTTAACAGTAGGTAATATATTAATTTAATTATGAAAATTACATTAGTTTTAAGAAAAGAGCCGACGTGTCAATAGAATGCTCCTTAACATGATTTAATTTCAAAAAAGAAGAGGAGGTTGCTTACATTAAATACTATTAATATTTCATAGTTACACAGTCAAGCCAATATTTATATAAGTGAATACAAAAATAAATAAGTTCTAAACCAGAAAATTGTATCCATTTTCTAAATGTACTGCAAGTTATTTAACAAGCAGGCATATGTGGTGTGAACCCATTTCTAGGTTCAGCTAAACGTTGCTTCACTAAAAAGCCAGCTATAATATCAGCAACATGATGAGGCTGATCTTCATGAATTGCATGTCCTGATCTTGGCAATACTTGAAGTTGAAATTTTCCTATAGCAAACAAGTATTATATTTACACAAATCAATATATTGCTAAAAAATTATGAATGCTCACCTTGCATCTGACCTACTGTTAAAGACGTATCAAGACCATGAATATTGGCAAGAAGCAGAACTTTTGGAGAATGAATATCTAGAAATTTTTGTGATAATCCTTTGAACCATCCAGTCCAAAACGGTTCTGTTTTGCTTAAGTCAATTCTCCATACATAGTTGTTAGTTGAAGGATGCCTGAAGTTATCATTACCATTTGAGGAAATTGCTGGAGGAAGCTTGTGACTACTTCCTTGATCACTACTTTTAATTTCATCTTCTACTTCTTCATCTATTGCATCAGCAGAACGCTGATGAACCATTTTTTTTTGTTTAGGTGGACCATCAATTTGAATGACTTTCTCAATTTCAGCATCTTCAGCAGCCAAAACTCCTGTTTTAACACTACAAAAACACATAATTTGCTCTAGAAAAATACAAAATTTATAGCAACGTCCAATTACTTTTTTATTTGACCAGGCATAGATACACGAGCAGCTTCTAAGTTATGAGTTTGTCCTCCTCTGAAGCTCCACTGAATAGCATCATCAATAGTTTTAAAACTTGATGGGCGTCCACGTAAAATACTTTGCATTGATGACAAAGATTCAAGAGCTGTTCCTTCAACTACATCAATCACACAAACGCCTGCTGCATTGATAAGTGATGCAGCTTCAACTGCTACAGCACCACCCAAACTGTGACCTACCAAAATAATTGGAGGCATAGACTCTCCATATAAAGTCAACAGAACATCTGTTATATCTCTAAAATTTTTATTGTTTATAGAACTAATTAATATATTAATAAGGTAAATCATACTTTGCTAATGTTTCCAAAGAAAGATCTTCATCATTTTCAGTAATTGTACTGCCATGGCCTCTCAAGTCAATTGCTATTAATTGACAATCAATTCTGTGTATTATTTCTTCCTAAAAATTCAAGGATTACAAACAGTCAAATCCTACTTACCATTTACATACGGCAAACAATGACCATGTAAGGGCAGAATATCCACCACCATGTATTGAGACCAACAGAGGGCCATTTTCTCCTATTGTGTAAACATGAAACTTATTGTTGCCAATAAAGACATCCTTTTGACTGACAAAATATTTTGACCATTTTACCGGGCTATAATCATTAGCATTCGCCGCAAATCTGAAATTTGTGTTGTAGAATTACATTATAACCGTTTATACATTAACTGCACTTACTTTTTTTGACCCCAGGATAATACACTTTTTCTTAAATTAGACATCACAACACAGTCAAATTCACTTTTTGTTTTGTTATTATCACTTTAATTTCCAATATTCATTTGAGTTGTTTGGAAATAAAAACCATTACAAGAAACCCAAATTGCTAATTGACGTTACGCAGGTGCCATCACTAGATAGAAAGATAAACTTTATCTATGGATAAATTGATATAAATCTATAGATAAGATGTGGATACATGACCGTAAAGAAATGGGCTAACAATCATATACTACAAAGATATGCGCGGTTAAATTTAAATAACAGATACCACTGCTTATACATTTAGTTAAAAAATTCTAATCGTAAAAAAAAATTACTATGAATATTTACATGTAAATGCTAATGTGTAACTTATATTAAACATATTATACATGGATTAAATTGTAAGATTATAAAAAAAAATCATTTCCAAATAACATACTTTACACATGAACAATACAAATATTTAGTGAGTTTCTTTCATTGTACTACTTACTTTTACTTTTTATAAATGCCAATAAGTAAAGAGATGAAATAATTTAACAGTTTTAATCGTGAATTTTAAAAATAAGTATAAGGAACAACTTTAGAAAATTAAAGTATACTCCCTACTAATGGTTTCCTATTTATTTTTTACGTCGATAAGTCTTGACGGTAAATGTTTCTTATAATTTTAATTCCTCAATTTTAAAACATAACAAGCACGTTTTTATCATGTACTGTTTAATAAAATGTTAAACAATAAACGCAGTTATATCTTACATGTCAATAATCGACTCAGAATATGCATAAAAAAACAGTTTAAAATTGTATTCAATTTATAATATCAAAAACAAAATGCAAACATATTACTCAACGCATGAACATTTCTAAATGATATGTAAGTAATACAGTTATGGATATGACAAATAACAAAATAATTAGGCGTTTTGTGTAGAAAAAAATTTAGGTAATAGAAATATTTACGTTGAGAAACTGTTGCAATACATCGAGATTTAAACATGTAAAAATTACAAAAATGCAATATATTTCATTATCCATCAGATTACACATCAGATTATGTACTAAAAACAATAATTTACTCAAATGATGTAAAATGCTGCAATCCACATTATTAAAGTTAATTTTATTTACAGTGCACTTTAGCAAAATGGAAAATGTGGAAAAGCAGTCCATCATAAGCAACAACTTGATACCCAGATTATATTTAATTCATTCATTCAACCACAAATTACAATCTTTGATTGGTGTAATAACGACTTAATCGTCCATTCCATACACTCTTTATTTTAATTTTTTCCCGAAAATAGAAAACGGTTAACTATTTCATATACACATACTCGAAAATGGTCATAGAATGTCTTTTTTTAACGATTAAAACGTGAATATCGCATCACTCAGAAAACTCATGGGAGATAATAAAAATGTAGCAAAATGGTCAGGAAAGGGAAGAGAAGTTTTATAGGATTGTCTTTTTTCATTTGAAAAAGTAGGTCCATATCCCTATTATTTACACTAATGCTAGCAAGTCGTCTCAAGAATAGGACAACCACAACTAGTGGAGCAAACAAAAGCAGTCCCATTACACATTGGCAGAGACTGTACTTTAGCAGGCGGTAAATGCCGTGGGCGAGGTGAACTTTGAGCACTACTGCACTGACGTTCTGCACGAGCTAGAATACCAGACAGAGCACGCAGAGCGTGATGAGGTGATGGGCAGTGAGAAGATAACGCGGGTCGACTAGATGCCAGACCCGCGGCCCCGTGCTAGAGCAATTTTTCACCGGCCGAACTGGATGTTCCAGAACTGACAGTGCAATCTTCTCCATTAAGTAGTTGTCAGTTAACTAATTCAACATTAACAAATTTTTTAAGTCTTTCTAAATAAACGTTGTGAAGTTCTACATCATTATGACCAGCGCCCTAAAATTATATTCCTTATTATATCAACACAGGCTTACTTTCTCTTTATTTTTCACATAAAACATAGTAATTACGTATTGAAAACATAAAAGACTGTTTATCTACAGCATGAAAACCTTTAATTCTGCTATATCTTCGAAGATTTGATGCAACTTATTGCTACTGCACCATTTAACATCAACAAATATATTACTTACTTCCACCCAAAGAGGTTCTACAGCTCTGGGACATTTTTCAAATATATTCAGTCCGTGAGAAAAATCAATTACTTCATCTTCAGTACCGTGAATTACTAAAACTGGGGATGTCACCTTAGGCACCTTATCAATACTGAAAAGCATAAAAATAAGTTTTATTATATTTTTAAATACACTCCACACGATTTTAATTTACAGACACAATTATAAAATTAACAAATTCTCATTATAAAATTAAGAAATAAAAGTTTTTGCATTTAATGGGAAGAAATAGTAGATGTTTTTGATACAATTAAATGTTGTAAACTTATAATAGCTTTACCTTGGAAAGGCATCAAAAAACCATGTTCTCTTGGTGTTAGGAAATGCAACTCGCATGCCTGACATTAGAGGAGAATGCAAAATAACTGCTCCTACTTCATATCTTGAGGCTAAATCAACTGTAGGCACTGTACCAATACTCTGCCCATATAAAATAATATTTTCAGGGCTAATACCGTACCGAGTACGTAAAGCAAGCCAGGCAGCATCAATATCTGCGTATAAATTTTTTTCAGAAGGTTTCCCAGCACTTACACCGTAACCTGAGTAGTCATAACTAAAGATGTTACAATTAATTCTGGATCCCAATCCTAAATAAAAGCTACTCATCTGTCCTAAGTCTACTGCGTTTCCATGTGAAAACAGTAAAGTAAATCTGGCAGTACTACTACATCGAACAAATAAACAAGCAATTCTATTACCACGATTCGTTCTAGTGAAAAAGCCTTCTACATTTTCTTTATCTCTTTCGGAGTACTGCCATTCAGCCCTATCAGTTAGACTTAGCGTATATCTGCCAGTACCATCTGCATGGAAATCGTATGTTGGTTCCGGAGGTAAAAATGCTAATTTAGCAGCGATTCTACTAGGACACGGTGGACAACAAAACAAGCAGCACAATTCACTAAAGCTAAGACCATTCATTTTAAATAAAATATGAACGTTTTAACTTAAAAAAAAAACAGGAGAAACAAACTACAATAATTATTTAAACAACAACTAAAATAGTGAAACTTTGACGTTCATTGTTGACAACGCCATTTTGAATTTGAAAGGCTGGTTGACTGGTTGATTCACATTCACAGGTTCATGAGACTGTAGACAACGGCAGATTACTTTCAAAATAAATGATAGACCTCTATCATTGGGTTTTCCAACTACTAGTTTAGATTGTTAGCGTGAGATGGCTACTTGCAATCATGTTATAGGTAACTATACTATAATTTTATATTGCTACAATTACCAATAGCTTTAGATAGATGGCTTCAGTTAATGTTAAAGTTATCTATTGTTTAACGACTACAGCGTTCGACTGATTATCATTTTAGACAATCTCAAATGTAGGTAACTACACTCATTGTTTACACTCACCTATAAATTCACAGTTTCCAGCTTTCACATCTTCCTAATAGAGAGTAATAGTTTTACGTTTTCAAATTACTTAACTCAATAATTTTACAATTCGAATGCGCTATTAGGCTTTTCGTAAAAACATTTTTATGTATATTGACATACAATTAAATAAATTTAGTTGTCTTTATTAATAGCTTGTAATTATTCTGCGATTAGATAATTATGAAACTGCATTTCATGTTTGCAATAGCTTGATTCAAGTTTTGGCATACGATACTTTTTCAAGAGTATGATAATAAGTACTACCTAGTTTATTATTGATTATCGTATATTAAAATAATTGTAGAGTTTTGTATCAAATTATTGGAAACAAAAAAATGGTTTATTAGTTTAATTTTTATAATTATCTTTATTAGTTAGCTTTGGCCTTACTTACTGTTACAATACTGATGTGTTATATGTATTTACCATGCAAATAAAACCGAACACAATCAATCATGACCTGTAATTTGTAAAATTTCACCTACTTCATGACAAGTAATTTACTCAAAAATAATAATTTAATATGTGTTCTTACTGTCGAGTTTACGTTGTCCTTAAGCAGGTTCAATGATTGATAAATAAGTGTAAGTGACGCAATCATAATGTACACCCTGTATATGTACGCGATGTTAACATAACGAGATGAATTTACAGTGTGCACATACAAATATATGTATATACATACATACCAATTTACGGAACTGTGAAACAATAAAAATATTAGCTGAATTAAACGTCAACAATTGCATAAATGAAAGCGTCAACAACCTTAAAAATTTTATTCGATGCGTTCCAATAAACGTCATGTCACATTACTGCTTCTTGTTACGCTTATGAATTAACTTTCATCATTACCCAGTTCGTTTGTTTAATTTCGAACCCACGTTTAGGAAATTGTTAAATTATTATTCGCAATTTACGTCACAGTAGGATATTTTGTTTGACTACGTGAGAAAGTACATGTTCTCCTGAATAAAACTGATTCGACATTACTGTCGCAAAATTAGCCAACTCTAAAATCCCATGCTCGAAACTTTTTAGAGCACGTGGGGCAAGGCATCACGTTGATTTGCTGAAATTTTATGCATCATAAGATCACAGCATATGCCAAAAAATTCCTTGATAAACAAACACCATCATATCTTATTATTTCTTACTTGCAATATACATAAATTGCAAGGCACCGATAAAACACTTGAATTAATAATATTTCTTTTTTATTATTCCAGGCGTTATTGAAAATTGCCACAGTTTTTTTCGGAGGTTCCTTAATATAAAATAGGCAAGTGGGAAGGTCGTTTGCATATCTTAATAATAAAATGAGAAGTGTAATGAACTTTGGATGGAACAATGAGCTATAAAAAGGCGACATAAAAATGTTGATAGCTGAACAATTACTTCAAAATTAAGCAAAAATACACGTTATGATCACCAAATATATATGCTTTAAATAAGGCAATAGGGGGCAAATAATATTTCCTAAAAATTTTTTTTTAATAAATGAAAGTCACTTTTATTAAAAAGATAAGACATGGGACGTGGTGTTTTTTATTTCTTAGTAATAATTTTTAGTACGAAATTTTTGAATAGTTCATGAAAAGGAAGCAGCAATATAAAACATTAATTCAATTATCATTTTCTCTTCTAGTTGGTAGCTTCATCGATTCATTATCATATGATTATGTTACTAGGTCGTGAACACTAATCAGGAGATTACAAAGACGTAATGTATACGTATTATTTTTATCGTGTACCTAATAATAAATTGCCCGATTATATAAAGTTACTAAAATATCATAAAATTCAACCAAATAAAAACTGTTAATTGAAATTTTAATTTAGCAAGTACTCTGCACTTTTTTCTAAAAGCGTTAAATAAAAAGAAAATACTTTAATTACTTATTACTGTAATTCATCACAAAATTGTTTCCTTTAAAATAATCAGTTTAGCATAAAAGAAAATTTTTATTTTTTTTAAATAAACGAGAAAATTAGGCCTTAAAAACAACAGATACTTTTGACATAACGTGCAATATACCTTAATACATATACGTATAAAGTTCTAATATAAGAATTTTAATTTAATTCTGTACATATGAGCGTATATATATACTCGACCCCACGGTTAAAATGCAAATGCATTCCCCAAAAAAAAAAAAAAAACATTTGGGTTTGAATTGCTGTAACCAATAGCGACACATTTGTCACGACTAGAGCAATAAAGTCCTAGATTTTTTTATAATACTTACGTATTGGCCCATTCTGGTTTCGATCAACCTCGACCCTCGTCATTTCGTCTCAATTTAAGTTCTTTCTTCGGCTTATCTTGCTGTAAATAGAATGGTAGTTGTGGGGACGAGGTAAATAATAGACTAAGTCGTCTGTTTTATCAGATATCAGATTGTTGATTCACCTGTGTTTTTGAGTCGAAGGGACAGCTATTGTCTGATTTACATATACAGACAGTATCAGCCCAGTTGCTATATAAGAACATAGGCTTTCACGGCCGGAATCCATGATAGGTTTACGATTCGGGCTGTTAGGTTCAGACGTTTCGTCAGAAGCTGCGGCTGACAACTTCAGTGATACTGTGTAGACAACGTGGACGAAGGTTGTACCTCGAAGTTTCGACAGTAACAGCCGCGCGTCTGTCAACGCAGTACAACTGAAGTCACAGTTGCCGACGAAACGTCTGGGCCTAACTATTCATTTAAGCTGAGGTCCAATTACCGCTATGTGCCGCGAACGTATTAGTAAAGTGATGCATGAAATATTTTGTTATCGCCTACTATTTTTGTACAATTAAAATGCATAAGTATGATAATTAAAATAAAACACTTACCTGTATAGTTGTTGGAAAACGTCTGTTTTAATTTACTGCACAGTTTGATGAGTTCTCTGCCTGTGTGTTTTATACTTTCAAAATGTTTAAAGAAAACACAAATTATCAAAAATGTAGAGGGTATTGAGTTTTTCTTTTTGTGAATGAATGAGAGTGAAGAGAAAAAAGTAATAAAATTAACGGCGAGGTATATTCACTTATGTAGACAACTATATACAACTTGAAAAATACAATAAATAGTAGAAATAAATAAAGGAGAAAGGATATCAGCACCTGAATTTGGTGAGGTGTATAGTCAGTCGGGTTGCGGGAAGACCGCACTGTCAGTTACGGTGGAATATTCGTATTCCAGAAATGTTGTCGATTCTCCCGCATAATCTTCGTCCAGCGACGCTTCTTCCAAAGGACTAGGTGACGTGGAGGTCGTGGTTGTTGTAGTAGACGTTGTTGCTGTTGTTGTTGTTATAGGTGTTGTTGTGCTACTTGTCGAAGATGATGTCGTTCTTCCATGCAAAAAGGTTTTTTTTATTTTTGCACCTTTCGGATGCTTTCTTTTTTTAGCACCGTTATTTAATGTCACTTTATCACCAGGTTTAGTCTTTTGCCTCTTTTTTTCAGTCACATCAACTCTTTGGCACTCATCACTGTCTCCAGGCACGCACTTACTACTATTAATATTAACGCTACTGTTTCTAACGGGTATTTCTTCCAATTGATGGGAAATCTGCGTGTGCGTTTTCGGACACGACGCCATTGGTTGTCCTCCTCTCTCCGCGCCATCGGGAGGACATTTCCGTTTTTTCTTCTTTCGTTTTTTCCTTTTTCGACAGCGTGGCAGATGCGACGTCGGTGGATTTACGGTAGACGATAAATGATAATGGTGGTGGGTATGAGTCGCCGACTCCATGGTTGGGGAAACTGCACACATGTGCCCTCCGTGATGACGCAGGGGGTGCAATTCCTCCGCACGTTCCGGGGAAACGGCGCGAGTTAAAACGCGAGTGAACGATGAAAGACGTCCCAATTGCTGACGCGCCCTCAACATCACCTTGCGAGGCTGACCTCTTTTGTTTAGAGCAAGATAAAGCGTTCTTTTCTCATTCGAATACTTTGCTGACGAGTACGTATTGTAGTGATGCTGCTCGATCATTTCGTTAAAGACACATTCGTCCTTAAATTCCCTCTGAAACAAAAGAAGAAAATCCTGACAAAATGCTATTAATTACACGCACAAACAGGCAGGGGCGCAACAACTTTACGGTTTGACTGGGTGCTCCCATCATAAAAAAAAAACTTTTGGGTGTTTCATTCCCACCAGTCACTCTAATTCTGGTGGGCGGACAGTCCCTCTGGACTACGCCGGAAGGTAGGGCGAAAGGCCCTCTCTTTAGACTGCTTTCAGGAATCGTGGGAATGGGTGGGTGGTGGTTCGGGTGAGAAAGATGAGACGGACGAAATGAAGACAGTAGAGAATGATAGATTATTGGAATATTACTGCCTCAGCATTTGCCTAAGTGATCCAAGGAAGCCACAGAAAAACTTGGACCAAGGCAGACGGACCCCGAATCGAACCGGCGTCCTCCCGAATGCTAAGCAATGGTCTAAACCTCTAGGCCATGCCGCTCGGTACCTATCATAATACTATAAGTATTTATATACTGCGGGGTGAGTATAAGCTGAAAAGACCGAGTTCGGCTGCTCATTTACGAGCTTGAACTATTTGAACCGAACTTTCAAGTTGGGTTTTATTATCTGAATCGACTGGAATTGACTAGGTGCCCAACCCAATCGGGGGGCACCCGTGGACCCCCCTTGTTGCGCCCCTGCAAACAGGTACTTATTCAGAAGTTAGCTAGTGCACCTGTCATAAATTGTACCTTTGGGCACACTCCGAACAATACATACTGGTAAGTGTGAAGTAATAACAATGCGTACAAATAAACGAAAAATTTATCACTATCTCACGTTAACACTTCCTACTATGGAAAAGCAGAGTCTTACAGGCAGAATGCATTTCGTTCGAATAATCAGTGATTTCATTTATAACATTAAACAAACCTAATTTAAAAGGGAAACATAATAAAGAGTATAAATTATAATATTTACAATTAAATCTATTCTCATTGACTGTTAAAAAGGAACGAGTATGCCGACATATGTCTGATGGATGTACCCATGAAGAATTCAATACCATCAGTACTAAATTAATGTTTCTTTGATTCCCGTCTTGCCAGCAAGCTTTAATTGGAGAGTGTGATTGTAATGATAAGCATTAAATGACATTGCCCCTTTCACAACAATTTATTTTTAATAAATAATTACTCGTCAACTTTCAATTTAACTCGTTATTTAATTCTACAGTTAATTAATTGGTAACAATCTTTTAATTTATCATCCAATAAGTTTTACATTTTTAATTAAAAAATTACACGCAGTTCTCTATAAACGTCAATCATCATCATCAATGAAACTTACAAAAAAAAAAATAATAGGTTCAATTACAACAAATAAACTGGTAGGTAATTAGTTACAAATATCTTTGCGAGATATTATAGGGTTGTTCGGAAAGTCATTTCGTTTTTTCCCGACAGAGGATTTAATTGTATTCTTTTGCACCCAACTTCACATTTAAGCCGTATAATTTTTATATGCTTTGAGAGCTCATATAGCAAGGCTTGTGTGTGAAAAATTCCAATT